CAGGCAACTAGTGAAAATGGGCTAGTGATCTTATACCTAGTTTTCTTAAAAATTTGGTTTTGATGGTTGTGTCAGCCTTGTTGGGAATAATGCAGGACCAAGAATCCCTGGTGCTCTCAAGAGTCTCATTCAGTACTATCACCTTGCAAACATTAATTTCCTGGCACTCAGTGACCTTCTGTAATCGTCCATATGGGATCCAGTGATCTTACTTCTGGGTGTTTATTCCAAGGAAAGGAAATCAGTATATTGATGGAGGCTCTATTTCCAGATACAGAATCAACCTAAGTGCCCATCAGTGGGATGAGGGGGGAAGAAAATGTGGTACAGACACAGAATAGAAGGCTACCCGGCCCTAAAATAAGGAAATTCTGTCATTTGCGACAAGAAAGTGCACTAAGTGAAAAAGCCCAACACAGAAAGACAAATAATGCCCGTTCTTATTGATATGTGAAATCTAAAACAATTGAACTCTGATCATGGTGGTGACAAAGGCTGGGGGCTGGGAGAAGTGTGGAGACCATAGTCCAAGGGTACGAAGTGTCAGGTAGTGGGAACAAGTTTGATTTTATTTGGGGGGGATTTATCACACAGTGTGGAGTGTAAAATTAAAAATTGAATACTGCACATTTCAGTCTGGCTATGAGAGTAAATTTCAAATGTTCTCATCACAGAAAATGTTAACTATTTGAGGTGATGCAGATGTTAATTAGCTAGATTTAATCAGTCCCCATTAAATTTAAAAAATCACAACATTACTTTGTATTCTACAAATATATACAACTATTATTCACCAATATGTAGTAGAAATAATAAAATTTAAACAATTTTAAATAATGCATTTGGAAAGGAATTGATGAACATCAGCATTCCTGCCAGTAATTCACATTTTAATGGATCAGAACAAAATAGTTGATCATTTGTTCAAAATTACTGAATATATAACTCTATTAGCCCACTCCACAAAGTTGGCGATATTTGGAAAGACAGTCTGGCATGGGTTGGCCTTTAGCACCTACAAGTGAATGGGCTTGGCAGTTAGCACCCCACCCAAGTGCGATACGGCCCTGGTTGATGTAGCAAGGCCACAGGAATGTCCACACCGCCCAACGGCTCTCACCATAGCCACCTGGGCATGTCAGGACTTGGAAGGCCTTCAGAGGTGACTGAATCAAATCTAAGTGAGAGTCAAATTCCTCTCTGAATTCCTTTTTTGGAGGAAGGTAAGGAGGACTGGCCTACCCTGGATCTTTTGAGGATGAATTTAATTTTGAAAGCAGCAAAACTTCAGGCAAAGCCAAATCAGGTGAATAAAGTAAATAATCAGGATGAACACATAAAAAACAGGTGGAGCCATCAAATGACAAAGCTGGTTTGCTTGTATGACCCACAGAGTGGTTCTGAGAGGTAATTCCAGAAGCACCTACAGAAACACCTGCCTCCCACTGCTGCTGCTGGCACAACCTCTCTGAGGGCAAATAGGAAGCTCATATTAAGACATTGAAAAATGAGCATTGTCTTTGGCCCAGAAATTCAACTTCGAGGAATCTGTTGCAAGGAAAGGATTGAGATGATACACAAAGATTTAACGCAAAGTAGGAACTTGGCACGGTGTTCATAACAGCTCACAAACTGGAACCAGCCTCATGTCCAACAGTAGCGATTGGCTGAGTACAAAGGGCATATGCCTGTACAGGGAATGGAGTATTGTACAGTGATAGGAAATGATGCTACGGAAATAGCTGATGTTGATATGGAAAACTGCTCACGCAGAGCAGAAAGAGCAGGTTACACAACAGGTGAGTGGGCAAAGAAAACAGGGCATATGTACACCATCCAATACCATCCAGCCATTAAAAAGAATGAAGTTCTGACATCTGTGGCTATGTGGTTGTACCTGGAGGACGTTATGTTAAATGAAATAAACCAGGAACAGAAAGGTAAACATTGCATGTTCCCACTCATGTAGAAGCTGAAAAGGGTTGGTCTCATAGAAGTAAAAAGTAGAATGAAAATACTAGAATCTGGGAAGGGGAGGGGAAGGGAGGGATAGGAAGGGGTTTGTCAAAGCATACAAAATTAAAGCACATAGATTTGGGGAGGGAAGAGAAAGGGGTATGGACAGACAGACACCTTGCTGTGAATGATGGGTAGGGGTATGGATATTTTCATATTCTTTTTGCTTGTCTGTATAGTCTGATTTTTTTCTGTAACAATAAACTATTTTTATAATAAAAAGATAATAATGGGGAACATAATGGGGGGGGTTCTGCTATCCTCCAGAGCAACCATGACATGCCTTTATCAGTGTGCTAGGGCTGCTGTAACAAAGTCCTATAAACCAAGTGGTTTAACCAACAGAAATGCACTATCTCATGTGGAGAGTAGAAGTTCAGGGTCAAGGTGTTGGCAGGGTTGGTTCCCTGAGTGCTGTGAAGAACTGTGCCAGGAGTTCTGCACACTTCTGGCCTTCTCCTGTGTGTGTCTGTGTCCAAATTTCCCCTTCCTATAAGGACACCAGTCAGGGGCCCACTGGCCATAGTATGACCTCATCTTAAGTGATTATATCTGAAATAAGCATGCTTCCAAATAAGGCCACATTCTGAGATCCCAGAGGTTAGATCTTCAACATATAAATTTGCAAGGGACACAATTCCACCCAATAACGGTACCCCAGTGAAATAGCCACACTGCTCCTGCACCCACAGGGGTTAGTGCTTACCTGCTCTATAATCAACGCCAGGGCTGTATAGCCTGAGATTGGGCCAGAAGTTGGGCGATGAGGACACTGACTTTCTCCCTGCAGGATTCCAGGTTCAAAGAGATAATGGTGGAAATCAAAACCTGCTCTCAGCTACCTCTTTGCTTCTGGGATCCCAGGCCAAGTCTGCAGACATGCGTGTGCATTCAGGTGAACTAGAGAGCCCAAAAGAAAAGGAAAGGATGCGTTTTGACTGTGGGGCAGATCTAGGAGCTCTGACTTGTAAAAAAAGCAAAAACAGAAAGACTAAGAGCGAAGAAAGAAAAAATTGTTAAGAATATTATACACTACATCCTGCACATGAATATTTTTAGCAGCTTTATTCGTAATTGCCAAAAGCTGGAAAAAATCAAGATGTCTCTCAGTTAGTGAGTGGGCAAACAAATTGTGGTATATCTATGAGGTTGGATGGTACTCAGCAATAGAAATGAGTATCTAACTTACAAGAAGATGTCAAGGAAGTTTAAAAGCACATTGCTAAGTGAAAGAAATTAACTGAAAAGGCTACAGACTGTATGATTCCAACTAGTATATGATGTCCTGGAAAAGGTGAAACTATAGCGACAGTAAAAAGATCAGTGGTTGCCACCAATCAGTGGAGGAGAGGAATGAACCGGGGGAACACAGAGGATTTTAAAAACAGTAAAACGATTTTGTGTGATATGGAAATGGTGGATATGTGTCATTATGCATTTTTCAAAATCCCTGGTATGGACAGCACCAAGAGTGACCCCCTAATGTAAGCCATGAATTTTTCTTTCTTTCTTTTTTTTGAGACAGAGTCTCACTACGTCACCCTCGGTAGAGTGCTGTGGCATCACAGCTCACAGCAACCTCAAATTCGGGCTTAAGTGATTCTCTTCCCTCAGCCTCCCAAGTAGCAGGTGCCCACCGCATTGCCTGGCTATTTTTTGGTTGCAGTTGTCATTGTTGTTTAGCAGGCCCGGGCTGGGCTTGAACCTGCCAGCCTCAGTGTATGTGGCCAGTGCCCTGCTCACTGATCTATGGGCACCGAGCCAAAGCCATGTATTTTAGTTAATGATGAGGGCTCATCAGTTATAACAAATGTACCATACCAATGCAAGATGTTAATAGCTGGGGACATGTGTGGGGAAGGGAGGAAGAGAGTGTAGATGGGTATTCCGTACCAGCTCAATATTTCTGTAAACCTAACAATTCTACTAACCGAAAAGTGAACCCCTCCCCAAAATACATTATGGATAAGGAAATGTAAAAGAAGTCACACACTTAGTCAGCTGCCCAAAAGGGGCCCCTGGCAGATAAGGGAAACGACAAGAGCTAGCTCTTTTTCAAAGGCAACTGAGAAGACACAGATGACAGAAGTGTGAACCAGTGGGGTGCCCCAAGATTCAAACAACACTGGCTGCTCACACCTGTCTCAGACTCAACAAAACTCTTCCAGTCCTGCTTAGCAGTGGAGGGGGATGGGGGGCAGACCCAAATTCCTATTCAAAGAAATAACAATTTGGACCGTGCACAAGAGTGTCAACAAGTTATGTAGATCTTATCAGCATGGCATTTTGGGTGCCTCCCAGCTATGCGGCTGGGCTCCATCAGCCTGTTAACACCCTTCAGCTTCCTACGCAGGGTGAGCCTATCAACACCTCCAGAGGCTCTGCCCTGGCCAGGCCTGCATACCCCGGGGCCAAGGAGCCCAAATTGTCTTTCTTTCCCTCTCCTCTTCAGATCCCATCCTACCATTTGCATGAGGATGGGCCTCCATTTCTCATAACAGGCTGTGACTTAGCTGGGGCTAAACCAGCTGTAGAATTGAACAATATCTTCATGCTGGCTTTGAAAGAGTCCTCACAGAAAACTCTGCCATCCTCAATCTGAAGGAAGAGAATGCATGGCTTCAGTAAAGTGGGAAATTCTGCAAAGTCATCATTCAACTATTGTAAGCATATATATGAGGTGTTTTTACTTTCACAGCTAAAACATCACAATTCTGCAAAATTCTGAAGAAAGGACATGACATGAGACTTGTGGACATTCCTTTCTCCACTCCCCCTCAAAATAAAGCCTTCATAGTCCCATCATGTGTATGCGTTACTTCATCGTAATGCCGCCTTTCGAATGTTAGTTGTGCTAAACATACCAAAAACCATTTATTTAGACTAATAAAAAGGTAGTCTTTGTATCTCAGCTTTCTTTTACAATTATCTGTTCATTACACTCCAGTCAGTGAATGCCTCCTCTTGTTTGTTTTCTGTTTTAGGCAGCTTTAAGTGCCTTGAAACAATTTTCTGAACAAGGACTGGATCCAATCGATGGAGCAATGAATATTGAAAAAAGTTCTCTTGAAAAGTGAGTAAATCCTCTGTCAGTATTCTTAAATGGTCACTATACAAAAGACAAGACACGGGTAATAGTAAGGTTAGAAAATCAATATACTATTGACATCTTACAAGATTATTCTTAGTTCAATTAGGAATTAAATATAAATAAATGAAAAACCGTGTATACGGTCATATCCATGTCTTCTAATGTGTCTGGGAAAGTTTTAACCTACGAATCGATCATTATTTCTGCCTTTTAAATGTGAAGTGTGTGGTAGTAGTTATGTGAGTTTTGTTGGCTGTAGATACTTGGAAAATTTAGAAGACTGTTTTTCACATCGTACTATCGAGCACTTGTCAGTTAAACCATTTTCAGAGGTAAAGGTTTTCGCTCACATTCCCGATAAGTTTGTGGGCAAAACAGAGAGAAAAGAAAAAGAAGTTGAGAGGAAGCGTCCCCTCCTGCGTTTGGTTTTCACGTTGCCCCACAAAGCACCAGCACCCGCTGCCAGGATAGTGTGGCCACCAAGGGCTGTGACAGCAAAAATGGACCTATAAGAATTATTTGTGAAGTCCACCTCCTACCTTTTTTTAATGCAATTTAAACAGAAAGTCTCATATAAAAGACTGAAGTTTGAGTCTCTCCAGAGACCTTAATTTGTCCTGAAGAAGAAAAAAAAAAAGCCAGCAGTAATATTTGCTCAGTAGAGCTCGCTCTCAGTGTGCGCTCTCAGAACGCACCCAGGAAACACCATTAAATTTGTAGAAAATAGAGAACCCAGAAGTAAAAACCGAATATATTGATCTTATAGTTAACGGGGGATACCAAAAAATAACAATAAGAAATAAATTTAAAAGATTGCAAACAGCTTTTGGTCGTTGATATTTCAAAGGTGAGAGCAGAAGAAGAAAGCATTTGGGAAACAGACGTGGCGTTTTAAGTTGTCCACAGATCGGCGACCATTTATAAGCTAATTTAATCAAAAACATTTCCACATGATCTCATCAGTAGACTATCTGCACATAAATATTGTTGTTTCACTTTAAAATGTCACTTTGGTGGTGACCTTTGAGTCCTCTGTGCTATCTGCTAATAAACATGTCTGAAGATGTGCACCCCGGACCCTAAGCTCTTGTTAATGTATTAATCTTTCAGACAAGCCAAGCATCTGAGGGAGAAAGTGGAGGATAACCAGGCGCCCCCGGGCTCCATCGCTCAGGACTGCAAGAAATCAAACCCCGTCTAGCAGCTCCCAGAACCCGCCGCTGCCACCGCATCCTTATAAACCTGTCAGCACGCATGAGGGTGTCTGTGTTTAGGGAAATGAATGACTAATACCATTATTTGAGTCTTATGTGAAGACAACACTATTCTAACACAAGAGATAATATACTTGGTACTGTTTATTCTACTGGGGGAAAATAAAACTTTGAGCATTTCCCTTGGAACTTGAGATCAGATCATAACTCATTTGCCCCAGAGGCAGCAGAAATCTGATCCTGCTACTGGAGCTTAAAATAACAAGTAAAGTGTTAGAAACAGAGCTAAAATTTTCAAATGATTAATAGAGATGTTCGGTTTGGTTCCGTTGTTCTGATTGTTTTGTCGTGGCGCTTGTGTTCACTTATACTCTCTCGCTCTCTCTGTCTCTCTCATTTCCGATAATGCTTGACAATTCGAAAATTAACCAATGACGTGCTGTGGAATGTGATGGTTGTTGTCTTCATATAGAGTCACATGGTTTCTCTTTTTATGCAGATATTTGTAATCTTCATCCTATATCAATAAGAATAACTTTAAGGTGCGTTATGGAAAGACGTATGCAAACATGTTTTAAATCAGTTCAGATATTTGATTGAAAATATGAACTAATGTTAGGAGCAAGTAGTTTCAATATACTTCAGGAATTTCAAAACAACACAAAACCAAGCCGTTGTGGGTTGTGAGCTCCATCTACTCTTAGCAACTAAGGAGGCGTCTTGCCCCCTCACATCATTTTCCTGGGTCGCAGTCTCTGTTGTGGGAATCACATCCACCCCCATCCGTGTGTTGTAGCCACTCACGGTTTGCATCAAGAGTGTTTTTAGTAACTGCCTCTGGTTGGGACAGTGAGTAGGATCAAAATAAATAATGTCCATGGCGGGGAAGGGAAAGCCTGTTGGGGCCATGCTCTGGACCAGCATGTTGGAATCCAGCGCGAAGCAAATGCAGTAAAAATTTGATCGGTTTCTGTGTGAAGTGTTGTTATTGTTGTTCTTTCGTTTTATCACGCTCATCTTTTAAGTATCACCTCAGTGAAACCCATCTGAAAGGCCACCACCCGGCCTAGTCATCCTGCCCAGCAGTGGAATTAGAGAGCGGACAGGGGACAGGCCGTATCTGTGAAACTGCAGAGCTGCCTCCTGGGTGACTCGGGGCTGGTTCCTGATCAGGGCTCACGTCATCTTATTGTTCAGGCTTTCTCCTTATTGATTTGCAAATGTTGTGCAATGAGAAAACACTATATGGTCTAACTGCTCCATCCAACATGACAATAGGAATATAATTATGTAAGATTTCATAAGCAAAACCACCGCGAATCATGATCTGGCTGACTCACACGCGACTGGAGAATAAACAAACAGCGACATAAGGAAATAACTCTAGGGTTGTTTTTAATGATTCCCATGTGGGAAGCCCGTCAGTTGGGAGGGCTGGGTGCCCTTGGAGGAAATAGGTTTTGTTACATAAACCTGGGTGCTTGTGAAAAGAGCAGCACATTTGTAAAGTTGGGGTTCACCAAGGTAAACTGGGTGGAAACAACAGGCCTGCCACCTAACAGAGGGCCCTAAAGCACGCTCCTAAGAGGCACAGGCCCTTTCTTCTGCCAGGCCTTCACCACCTGAGGCTTAGGGCCTCAGATGGGGCAGGGGACCACCTCGGACAGGATCACTGAAGTGAAGCTTCAATTTACCCAGCTCAATAAACATAGACTGCCTCCTGCAAGGGACACCGAGCTACCTCAAGGCTGTCAGGCCTGTGGGAGAGCAGTGAGCTCAGGGAATAAACAAAGCTAATCAGTTCTCATGATCCAAGTATCTGAAGCATTTAACTCTTGAGCTAACTGCGTCATCCTCAGAACTGATAGATCCCTGAACACAATAGCATATTGGGGGTAGGGAGAAGGGGAAGGAAATTTGCATAGAGTCTCAGGTTTAGTGATAGAGGATTTATTAAAATCCCATCCCTTCCACCTGCCTGAAGAGCACAGGAAGATGTTCAGGTATTTTCTAGGGAACAGCAGCACTTCCTGAGAAGTGCCTGGGTTTTCCTGGGGCGGAATTACCAATGCAAATGATGGGTGGCCTGCAGTCGCTGGCAGAGACCTGGCTGCAATGCTCGGTTCCAAAGCTCAATGTTATATATCATCAGAGGGGAAACTATTAAGTAGATTTATTGAAAGTGTGTTTCTTCGGCACAAGGAGATCTTTTTGATGAAAAATGGAGCTCATTATTCTTTAAAGGACACAGGTTGACTTATCTCCTTTATCAATTACGGTGTCTGCTTTCAGCTTTTCCCCATCAGCACCGGGCTTTGTAGTCTCTTCCCAGTGCTGAGGCCAATGTGTTTTATGAAAAAGGTTTATTTTTACTTTTTAATTGGAAATACAATATTGCACTTTGGAACGTGGACCACTTCTTTCCAGTGCAACTTGCCAGAGATCCACGGTGAGACACCACCAAGAAAGCTGTGATAGGCTCCTCCCTTTCCTGGGGTGACCCCTCCGAGGAGTTGTCCTCCTTGGCAAACATTCTTAATAGCATTTTTTTTTTTTGCCGGTGGGGGGGGGGACAGCTTCAACCAATTTCCTGCACCATAAAATAAAAATAGATTAATGAAAAACTTACCTTAGATAGAGGTTGCCAGGATTCCTAGTGACTTTAGAAATGTGGTCCAGACCAACTGATTGGAGTTTAAACCCTGTGGCAGTTTATCACGGTAACTGCTGGGAGTTTACTTTGTACCTTTCAATTTCTGAAGGCTACTTGCTACCACCATGTCCTAGAAGGACTGTGAAACTAATAGTCATGCACACAGAGCTGGTAAGCCATTTATGGCATAATCAGGTATGAACTTGTCTTTGAGTCTCCCATGGACTAATCCACCATATTATAGGCAGCCGATAATGTATGTATAATACACTGAATAAGAGGATGAAAGAATGATCTATCATTCAAAACCCACTGAGGAAATTAACTTGAATTCTCAGTCTCCACCTGACATAGACATAAGCACTCATGATAACCTGGTGTTAATGCTGACAACACATTACACCCTCAACCCCACGGGGACTGTGGCATTTCTTACTCAAGAACATGGCAAGTCTAAAACATCCTTCACTTAGAAGTCTTTGGGCCCACGGGACCATCTTCCCCTCATCTTCTCATGTCTATTTATTTTCCTTCCATAGGTTGTCAGATTCCAGTCCCCACCCCCAGGTACATTCCACTATTTCCACACTCACACGTGCATATATCTTCATGGGAAGGGACTTTGCAACACCTGCTTCAAAGCGAAGACTTCCTCAGATCTGATCGAACCCAACTGACTGTTTCTGGCACACACCACCCCAGTTCCGTATTACCTTACCAAGTTACTGTGTTGGGGAAACTTTCCTGTTACACCCTAACCTCTTAACATAAGTAAGGATGCCCTTAACTGTACTTAACTGTACCCACCCCAATACACTCTGATGTGTATGTGCTGGAGATTCACTAAATAAAACACAAACAAAACAACTTCACCCTAAAGAATCCACACTCTAGGCTCGGCGCCTGTGGCTCAAGTGGCTAAGGCGCCAGCCACCTACCAGGTGGAGGGTTCGGATCCAGCCCAGGCTCGCCAAACAATGATGGATGCAAGCGAAAAAAAGTAGCCGGGTGTTGTGGCGGGCGCCTGTGGGGGCCCGTCTCCCAGCAACTTGGGAGGCGGAGGCAGGAGACTCGCTTGAGCCCAGGAGTTGGAGGTTGCTGTGAGC